TGGAGTCGCCGCGCGGCCTCGGCCGTACTTCGTTCCACTCCTTCAGCAGGTTCTTGGTCTTTCTCCTCCTGCAGCGTGTCCACCGCCTGTTCAGTCACAGTCCCAGTTAGAGCCCGCCTCCCCACTTCCTGCTCCCTCTCCTTACACTGGTCCCACTGGAGGTCTTGCTGAGCGTCGTGAGCCTGCGTCTCGTCCTGCGTCGCCTGTTCGTGCTGCTCGCGCTAGTGGTCGCGGTTCGCGTCAGCGTCCTCCTCCTGTCCCTGGCACGCACCGGATGTCTTTGCGTCCGTCCACTGCTCCTCTGCGTGCCCCTTTGCCTTCTCCTCCTGAGTCCTCTCTTCCTGCACTTACCGACCCAGAGTCCGACTCTCTTCGTGCTACCAGTCCTACTGTCACACGTCTCCTTGCTACTGTCGTCACTGACCCCTCTTTTGAGTCCACTGCTGCGTCTGCTCTTGTTGCTGAGCTCGTCGACTTTGCTGCTCGCTGTCGTCTAGACTACGCTGCCGGTCTTGTTGCTGAGTCTGCGTCTGTCTGTCCTCCGTCCGTCGGGGGTGAGTGTGCTCTTGGCACGGACGTCCTTGAGGACAGGCAGGAGGAGTTCCAGTGTCTGGCTGCTGCTTCACCTCATCTCGCGTCCGTACTACTTGCCCCTGAGGGAGACCCGGATGCACTAGACATCCCGACTCCGCGCTCTTACGCGGAGGCCGTAGAGGGTCCCTACTCCTCTCAGTGGCAGGCAGCTATGGATGCAGAGATGGCGTCCTGGAAGTCCACAGGCACCTACGTTGACGCGGTTCCCCCTCCTGGGGCGAACATCGTCAGTGGCATGTGGATCTTCAGGGTGAAGCGGCCGCCGGGCTCTCCACCTGTCTTCAAGGCGCGGTACGTCGCTCGTGGCTTCAGTCAGCGGCAGGGAGTTGACTACTTTCAGACCTTCTCTCCCACCCCGAAGATGACCACTCTTCGGGTGCTGCTGCACATAGCCGCTCAGCGCGACTACGAGCTCCACTCTCTTGACTTCAGCACTGCTTTCTTGCAGGGTAGCCTGCACGAGGAGATCTGGCTGCGCCGTCCACCTGGCTTCACTGGGACTTTCCCTCCTGGCACCCAGTGGAGCCTCCGACGGCCAGTCTACGGTCTCCGCCAGGCACCGCGTGAGTGGCACGACACACTGAGGACTACGCTTGCGGCTCTTGGGTTTGCTCCCTCTACTGCTGACCCGTCGTTGTTTCTGCGCACCGACACTTCTTTGCCGCCATTCTACATCCTCGTGTACGTCGACGACTTGGTCTTTGCCATAGCTGACACTGCTGGACTAGCCTACGTGAAGTCCGAGCTGCAGAAGAGACACACGTGCACAGACCTGGGTGAACTGCGCAGCTACCTTGGCTTGCAGATCACTCGGGACAGAGCACGCCGCACCATTACCTTGACTCAGTCACACATGGTGCAGCAGGTCCTTCAGCGCTTCGGCTTCACGTACTCCTCGCCTCAGGCCACTCCTCTGTCTACTCGCCACTCGCTCTCAGCTCTGCCTTCGGATGAGTCCGTAGAGTCGAGTGGCCCGTACCCAGAGCTTGTTGGTTGCCTCATGTACCTGATGACCTGCACACGACCTGACCTTGCATACCCTCTTAGCATTCTTGCACGCTATGTTGCTCCTGGGAGACACCGACCAGAGCACATGGCTGCAGCGAAGAGGGTGTTGCGCTACTTGTGCAGTACGTCGGGCATGGGGCTAGTGCTTGGAGGGCGGAGTCCAGTGGTGCTCACTGGGCACGCGGACGCTTCTTGGGCTGACGACCAGGCTACGCAGCGGTCGTCGCAGGGTTACACCTTCAGTCTTGGTTCCGGCTCTGTCTCGTGGCGGGCTACTCGCTCGTCCTCTGTTCTCGGCTCCAGTTGTGAGGCTGAGATCTACGCCGGGGCCATGGCTGCACAGGAGCTTCGCTGGCTCACCTACCTGCTGACTGACCTTGGAGAGCCGCCTCGTTCTCCTCCAGTGCTGTACGTAGACAACAAGGCCATGCTGGCCTTGTGTCGAGAGCAGCGCTTGGAGCACAGAACGAAGCACATTGCTCTCCGTTACTTTCTTGCTCGTGAGCTGCAGCAGCGTGGTCAGTTGCGACTTGCGTACGTGGCCTCTGAGGCCAACACTGCTGATGTGTTCACCAAGGCACTTCCGCCTTGTGACCATCAGCGCTTCTGCACTCAGCTGGGTCTTGTACCTGTCTTGCCTCACTTGCTCTCCTCTTGACCTTGCTTGTACTGTCACATATATATACCTGCTCTTGCTTGTCTAGCTCTATATATATATGTGCACTCCTGCATGTGAACTGGCCTTGTGGCCTTGTCGTTGTGCTCGGACTGTGTGGTGACTTTGTGATCCACCCTGAGCTTGCTGTTCTTTGCGTGACTGGTCTTGTGACCCCTTGTTCTCCCCCACATTGCCTATGGGGGTGTGTCAGAACATATATATAGCTTATGCTGTTGTGTAGGCTATAGTGGGGTATCCCATAGGGGGTACAACCCAATTAGGGTTTCCTATATGTACTCACTTCATTCATAGTTCATCCATTCTCGTTCTCATTCTCACAAAACTCACCTTCTTCTCCTATTTCTCTTTCATATAACCTAAAACCTAGCTATGGCTTCTTAGCTTAAGCTCCTATCTTCACATGGTATCAGAGCTGTTACGCTCTTGGCCTGTGAGCCCATCTGCTTCCGCTGCTACTACTCTGCCTAACGCGCGCCTCGAGCGCGCGCCTGCCTGCCGCGTGCCTATGGCGCGCGGCCCTTTTTTCTTCCCGCCGCGCGCTCGTGGCGCGCGGCGGTTTTCTGACCGTCGGGCGCCCCGTGGCGCGCGGCGGTGCCTCGCCCCGGCCCTGCCCCGTCGCCCGCCGCGGCTCTGTCGCGGCCCCACGTCGCGGCCCCCCCCGTCGCGACCCCCCGTCGCGGCTCCCGTCGCGGCCCCCCGTCGCGCCCTCTCGTCGCCCGACGCCGCCCCGTCGCGGCCCTGTCGCGGCGCCGCCCCGGCCCTGCCCCGTCGCCCGCCGCGACTTTGTCGCGGCCCCGTTGCGGCCCCGTCGCGGCCCTGCCCCGACGCCTGTCGCGGCCTCGTCTCGGCCCCGTCGCGGCCCCGCCCTGGCCCTTTTCCCGTCGCCCGTCGCGACGCCCTGGGGGGCCGCGCGCGGCCCCCTCAGGTCGCCTCGACAGGCGACGGGAGGGGCAACTTGGGGGGGCCCGCGCGTCGCCCCTTCTGCCGCCTGCTCTGGCGCCCGGGGGCAGGACCGCGCCTCGGCTCCTCCTTTCTTCGTCGCGGCCCTACCCCCCCCCCCCCCCCCTCCCCCCCGTGCATTCCGTGGTGCTGGGGGTGTGGGGTGCAGAGCGTGGGGGTGGCGGGTGTGGGGGTGGCGGTTATGTGTTCCTCCCCTTGCTCCTCCTCCTCCCTTGACTCCCACTGCTGCAGCTGTCGCTGAGGGGGGTGGGTGTGTGGGAGCCTAGGGTTTAGGGCTTAAAGGGGGTGCTGTGGGAGTGGAGCTAGGGTTTGAACAGGGGGTGTGTGAGAGGGGAGTGGGGCAGTTGGAGGAGGTTGTGTGAAGGTAGCTGTCTTGTCGCCTGCAGCGCCTGTAGTCCGTCGCCCTTGCTTCGGTAGCCAGTGAGCCTGTTGCACCAGTCGCCAGTGGGTCCGTTGCTCCTGCCGCTCGTCTATAGCCGCGGAGCCAGTCACTCCAGTAGTCCGTCGCCCTTGCTTCGGTAGCCTCTGAGTCAGCCGCTCATGTGCCCGTGCCTCTGCAGCTTCAGTCGTTGCCTCCCATCTTCTCTCCCTCCACAGTCTCTCCTCCTCCTCACTTGCCCTCTGTGATTAGCTCTAACTTTGCTTACCTTTGTGAACTCCTGCTCTATACCTGCTTGCTCATTGTACTGATTACACCCCACTTTGGCTATGGGGGTGTGTCAGAATGTTATTCTCTAGCCTGTAGTGGGGTGCTCTATAGCGAGTAGAACCCATCTAGGGTTTGCTATATGTATCCTCATTGCTGCTAGTGAAACTCACCTTCTTCTCCTATTTCTCTTTCATATAACCTAAAACCTAGCTATGGCTTCTTAGCTTAAGCTCCTATCTTCACATGAGGAGCCGAGGTTTCCGCGATATACACGAACTCGCGTAGCGGAGGGGGCTTCTTGAGGAGGGGGGGGGGGGGGGGGGGGTAGTGCAAGGATTTTTTCAGCATTCTTACCGCGTTCTTCAACATCGCGTACAGCAGCAGCCGTTGTTCGCCAACTTCGCGCGCACTGTTTTATCAAACCTTGCACTGCTGGCCTGGCCGAGTCGGCCCTCGCTTCGGGACTAGCCCGAACCTCGATGCCAGCCTAGGGCTAGCTAGCTCGCACGCACCGCGTAACCGTTGCGTGTTTTCGCACATAAGTTCACTCATACCTTCGCTCATTTTGTACGGTACTCGTTTGACACCTAGTGCAATCGTAGCTACTTAGATTCATTGCACCCGTAACATACCGATTTGATCAACCTCGTACACTTTCGCAAATCCAACACTTTCGCAACGCATCTAGGGATTAGTGGGTGTTGCGTGGCGCTCCGCTCCGAGCAAGCTTCATTTGTGTGGGGCGATTCAAGTTTTGCTGCTGGCTCATTCCTTCCACGTGGATCGCGTCCTCCGCGTGTCGCTTTCTTCCGCTTACACGTGCCGCCTCAAACTCCTTCCGTGCATTACCGCTCTGAAACGGAACACACCCAACGGAAATAATATGTTCCAGAGCCTTGAGGCGGCAACGTAACACCCGCTTTGGTAGATTCCTTGATTCTAGAAGAATCCCCCAAATACCTTGAGGGGGTTGACAAGGAGACACCATCAGGCCAACCAAAATGTCCAAACCAGGTAGCGGGTATTTTGAATTTAATCTCTAGATTCCATCATCGCGGCCTGATCATTCCGTGATTCGCGCGCTCAGAGATCAAACCGCGACTCAACGCCATGGAGGCCCTCGTTTCGCGGCAACTTCGTGCCACATTGCCGGCATGGCAACGAGATTCGCTCCGGCCTTGTCGCGCAGTCGCTCCGTCCAATGCGGCGAGATTCGCAACGCAGCGGCGCGATCTCTCCGCGCGATCGACGGAAAGGCCAAGTCGGCGGGATTTTTCGGTGCGAGCGGAAGCATCAGCTGACTCGAGCGTGCCGACCGTTGCTCAAGCTCCTTCGGACCGAGTCCTTCGTAAGCTGAGATGAAAAATAATAATAAAGACACACTGTAGATTACTGTTTGACTTCTATGGCAGTGGTCGCATGACGCCTAGCAGCAGCTGCTGCTTCATTGCCCTTTGCTCCTTCGCTCCCTCCCTTCGCCACAACCAACAGTAAAACAGAGGGACGATACTATGGATATTTGCCGCGTGGGGAACGGCATGTGGCAGAGCAGCAGCGGGGTATGGGGCAGGCAGGCAGGGGTCTTATGAGGCCCTTCTCTCCTCTCCGTTCCCCTCCCCTGCGTGTTAACAGTCGAACAGGGGGGCGAGACTTTGGACATTTGTCGTGTGGTGAACGGCATGTGGCAGAGCAGCAGTGGGGCGTGGGGACAGGCGGGGGTCTGATGGGGGATTTCAGTAGCAACTGCTTCATCCCCCTCTGCTCCTTCACTCCCTCCTTTCCCCACCTCCCTCTTACCCACACCCACAGTTGAACAGGGCACGGACAGCCTTGAAATATGCCGAGTGGTGAACGGCATGTGGCAGAGCAGCAGTGGCGCGTGGGACGTGGAGGCAGGGGCTTTCTTAGCGCACTCAACAGCGGCTTTCCTCCCTTCTCCCCCACCTCCCCTCCACATTCCAACAGTGGAACAGGGAAACGACAGCCTTGACATATGCCGGGTGGTGAACGGCATGTGGCAGAGCAGCAGCGCGGCGTGGGGACAGGCGGCACCAGATGCAGTTGTGACTGCCATGCTGCAGCATGCTGACGCCGGGCTCACTACGTTCGACATGGCTGATATATGTGAGTGTATTGGAGTGTAGAGTGAGTACAATGGGGTTTGGGAGTGAGCTTATAAGGGGGACACCATCAGTGGGGCGTGGGGACAGGCAGCACTGGATGCGGTGGTGACAGCGATGCTGCAGCATGCTGACGCTGGGCTCACCACATTCGACATGGCTGATATATGCGAGTAGAAGGGAGTGTAGAGTGAGTGTATTGGGTGATTCTATAAGGGGTACAATCAGCAAAGGTGCAGGGTGATACCTGACTCACTACTTTAAATCTCCTGGTGTCTCTCTGTCTTCTCTCACCTCTCTCGCCTCCCCCAGACGGCCCTGCAGAGAGCTATTATGGAGCGATGATTGACAGGCTTAGGAGGGAGCGAGGGGAGGAGGCTGCATTTGGCGTGCAGGGGTGAGTGTGGGTGTGCCTGGAATTGTGTGTGTGAGTGAGTGAGTGAGTGAGTGAGTGAGTGTGTGGATGGCTGTCTGTGTGGTGAGTGCGCGGGTGTGTGCGTGGGTGAATGGCTGTGTGGGTGGGTGTGTGGGTGTGTGGGTGGGTTTATGAGTGGGTGTGTGAGCGGGTGAGTGGGTGTGTGAAAGGGTGCGTGAATGGGTGTGTTTGTCTGTCTTGCCTGTCTCCACCCTCCCCTCTTGGGCCCCTGTCCTCTGCTTCTCTGCTCCTCTCCCTTCTGCTCGTCTTCTCCCCTGTAAACCAGTCGCACCAAGTTCGTGCCCGGGCCCGACCGCATGACCCTTTTGAGACGTCTCAAAAGCCGTCTGCTCGTCTTCTCCCCTGTAAACCAGTCTCTCCAAGTTTGTCCCAAGGCTTGACCGCATGACCCGTGATGTGGTGAAGGTGGCGAGTCAACTTTGAAATGCCTGCCTTTGTCCACCCTCCAGAGTTGAGCATCCGGCCCGGCCCGACCCGACCCGACCCGACTTGGCCGGGCCACACGGGCTCTCGGGTCGGGTCGGGTCGGGCCGGGCTCGGGCCAGATTCTTGAAACAGCCGGCCCGACCCGGGCCTACTCACTCGGGTCAAAGGGGACCCGGGTTCGGGTCGGGCCGGGTCGGGCCAAGTAGACCCGCCCCTTTAGAGGGGGCTGGGGGTGTTCATCACAATTTGTGCAATTTCTCTGTTATACTTGTTTTTAGTAGACCCGCTCCCACACGGAACGCGCCTCGACGTGTGCTCGCGGCCTCCTCGTCACAGTGCAAGTGGCTGAACCGAACCTATGCGAAATGTCGCTGCGGTTGCCTTGCCGCTAAATGCGTCTATTGCAACGCGCTTGCAAGGGCTGTAGCCTGGTGGAAGGAAAATATAGGTCGCGCTTGTTTCATGGTGGCAGAAATACTACTCTACTGAGAAGCGCGAATACGTCGATTTGCAGCTAGACTCGTACATCTTGGCAGGTAACCTAAACTCTTAGATTTGGTGTGCGGATTCCTAAATTATGAGGTAGTATAAGGCACGTTTGCTATTGCTCTAAGTCTACTATGTGCTGGCGTGGCGAAATGAAATCGACGGGGAGGAAACCCCCTCGATTTACATTTGTGTTAGGGTTTCGGCTCCCACCATGTCGAAATCGGATCGCGCGCCTGGCCCGACCCGATTTTGACATTTATGGCCCGAATTCGGGTCGGGTCAGGCCCGGCCCGAAACCCGACTCGACCCGGCCCGAAATGCGCTCTCGGGTCAGGTTCCTGCTCGGGTCGGGTCGGGTCGGCCCGTACGGGGCAGGACTTCGGATACCTTGACCCGACCCGGGCAAAACCACGGGTCGGGTCGGGTCAGCCCGACCCGAGCGGGCCATATGCTCAACTCTACCTCACTCTTCTCCCCTTCCGTTCCCCTCCCATTTGAACTCCATTTGCTCCTCTCCCACCCACCAGTCTCACCAAGTTCGTCCCCTGCCCTGACCGCGTGACTCGTGACATGGTGGAGGTGGCGAGTCAACCGGGATGAGCTTGTCTTTCCTGCCGTGCCATTTTCCCATCTCGTCTCTCCCACCCACCAGTCTCACCAAGTTCGTCCCAAGGCCCGATCGAATGACCCGTGACGTGGTGGAGGTGGCGAGTCAAAACTGATGACCCTACCTCTTCTGCTCCTCGCCATCCTCCCCTCCCTCCCATGCACCACTAGTCTCACCAAGTTCGTCCCCCGCCCTGACCGCATGACCCGAGACGTGGTGGAGGTGGCAATTCGGCCTTTATGACCCTGCCTTCCCTGCTCCCTCCCATCTTCTCCCCTTTTTCTCCCATCCCATACCCCAGTCTCACCAAGTTCGTCCCCCGCCCTGACCGCATGACCCGAGACGTGGTGGAGGTGGCGATCAACCGCTCGCGCACGCGCATGCAAGTCAAGACAATCGACCTGCTGCAGTTCCACTGGTGAGCTGATGGGGAGTTGGGGATGAGGGGCGATGTACAAGTGCGTTGAAGCCAAGTGAAGCCGATCAACCGCTCGCGCACGCGCATGCAAGTCAAGACAATCGACCTGCTGCAGTTCCACTGGTGAGCTGATGGGGAGTTGGGGATGAGGGGCGATGTACAAGTGCGTTGAAGCCAAGTGAAGCCGATCAACCGCTCGCGCACGCGCATGCAAGTCAAGACAATCGACCTGCTGCAGTTCCACTGGTGAGCTGATGGGGAGTTGGGGATGAGGGGCGATGTACAAGTGCGTTGAAGCCAAGTGAAGCCGATCAACCGCTCGCGCACGCGCATGCAAGTCAAGACAATCGACCTGCTGCAGTTCCACTGGTGAGCTGATGGGGAGTTGGGGATGAGGGGCAATGTACAAGTGCGTTGAAGCCAAGTGAAGCCGATCAACCGCTCGCGCACGCGCATGCAAGTCAAGACAATCGACCTGCTGCAGTTCCACTGGTGAGCTGATGGGGAGTTGGGGATGAGGGGCGATGTACAAGTGCGTTGAAGCCAAGTGAAGCCGATCAACCGCTCGCGCACGCGCATGCAAGTCAAGACAATCGACCTGCTGCAGTTCCACTGGTGAGCTGATGGGGAGTTGGGGATGAGGGGCGATGTACAAGTGCGTTGAAGCCAAGTGAAGCCGATCAACCGCTCCCGCACGCGCATGCAAGTGAAGACAATCGACCTGCTGCAGTTCCACTGGTGAGATGGCATGACACGACTCTCTGTTGTGCTGTTTTGAGACGTCCCAAAGCATGTCACGCCTCGTACCCGTGACGTCCCAAAGCATGTCACGCCTCGTACCTGTGACGTGGTGGAGGTGGCGATAAACCGTTGCCGCACGCCCGTACAAGCCAAGACTGTTGATCTGCTGCAGCTCTGCTGGTGAGAGGATGAGAGGAGATGGGGATGCAGCACAAGGAGCACCAGCGCTCCTCCCCTCACTGCTGCAGTTCCACTGGTGAGTAATTTGAGCTATCTGATGCACATCAGCACGCATCAGCCTGTGGTACCACAGCATGACTCCCACCTGTTTAACTACCAGGTGAAATTACACCCAACCCGGATACTTCAACGCCTTGAATCACCTCACAGACCTGAAGGAGGAGGGGAAGTTTAAAGCCATAGGGCTTATTACCCCCCTGTCGCCTCTTCCCCCCCCCTTCCTTTCCACTGCTCCCTGCTCTAGTACCCCCCTCCCCGTTTACAGGTGGGATTACACCAACCCCGGGTACCTGGACGCCCTGAAGCACCTCACAGACCTCAAGGAGGAGCGGAAGATCAAGGCACTATCTTGTTTCCGTGCCGTCTGTTTCCTCCTATCACCACCAGGTGGGACTATAGCAACCACGGGTACCTGGACGCCCTGAAGCACCTCACAGACCTCAAGGAGGAGGGGAAGTGTAAAGCCATTGGACTGACCAATTGTCGTCTCATGGCCCCCTTTTCCTTCTCACTGCCTCCTGCTCTCCCCATTACCTCCAATCCCCACCACGACCAGGTGCGACTACAGCAACCCTGGGTACGTGGACGCGTTGAAGCACCTCACAGACCTCAAGGAGGAGGGGGGGGCTCTTGTATACCTTGACCTCGTTTTCTCTCTCTTCTCCTTTCATCTCCTCTCCATTCTCAGGTGGGATTACAGCTACCCCGGGTATCTAGACGCATTGAAGCACCTCACAGACCTCAAGGAGGAGGGGAAGATCAAGGCGATAGGGCTTACTAACTTTGACACCAAGCGGCTGCAAGTGATTCTGGAGAACGGCATTCCCATCGTTAGCAACCAGGTGAGGAGATGGTCAGGTTCTTTGTGACTACTGATTGATAACAACAGGGTGAGGAGAGGGGAAAGAGGGGAAGATCAAGGCGATAGGGCTGACCAACTTTGACACCACCTGGCTGCAAGTGATTCTGGAGAACGGCATTCCCATCGTCAGCAACCAGGTGAGGAGGAAAGGAGCTTGTTCCCTTTTATTGGTTGGGAGTGAGGTAGGGAGGAGTGGGATATCAGGGCGATAGGGCTGACCAACTTTGACACCGCCCGGCTGCAAGTGATTCTTGAAAACGGCATTCCCATCGTTAGCAACCAGGTGGGTGATTGAGCTGGTTCCCGTTGCTTGCGTGGCACTAACACTGACCTCAAGGAGGAGGGGAAGATTAAATCCATTGGGCTGACCAACTTTGACACCACGCGGCTGCAAGTGATTCTTGAGAACGGCATTCCCATTGCCAGCAACCAGGTGAGGAGGAGGAGCAATATCAGCAGGTGGGTTAATAGGTACCATCTGGTTTAGGAAGAGGGGAAAGGTCAAGACCATTGGGCTGACTAATTTCAACACCAAGCGGCTGCAAGTGAATCTCGGAAACGGAATTCCCATCGAGTCTCCTCCTCTCTTCCCTCACCCAATTCCCTTTCATCTCAACCCTTCTGTTTCTTCCCTCTATCAGGTGCGGCACAGTCTAGTGGACATGCCGCAGCAGATGGTTGGAGGCACCTCACCTCCTTTCTTCCCCCTCCCCATCACCTTACATCCCAACCCTTCTTATACCTCCCTTTCTCAGGTGCAGCACAGCCTAGTGGACATGCGGCCGCAGCAGCAGATGGCTCAGCTCTGTGCCCTTACTGGGGTGCAGCTTATAACGTGAGTGGCTTATAACGAGTGGGTTATAACGTGAGTGCCTTATACTGAGAGTATGAGCGTGAGTGAGTAATAGCACGAGTACGTGGTATGGAGTCTTGTGTGCCCACAGCAGCCTAGAAGTGAGTGTGAGCACAAGTAAGAGCATGAGCACAAGTAAGAGCATGAGCACAAGTAAGAGCATGAGCACAAGTAAGAGCATGAGCACAAGTAAGAGCATGAGCACAAGTAAGAGCATGAGCACATGGTATAGAATCTGGTGCGGCCACAGCAGCAGATGGCTCAGCTCTGTGCTCTTACAGGGGTGCAGCTTATAACGAGAGTGGCTTATAACGTGAGTGGATTATAACGCGAGTGCCTTATGGTGAGAGTGCGAGCATGAATTGAGTAAGAGCACGAGTGCACGGTATAGAGTCTGGTGCTGCCACAGCAGCAGATGGCTCAGCTCTATGCTCTTACAGGGGTGCAGTGCAGCTTATAACGAGAGTGGTTTATGATTGGACTAGATAGTGAGTGGCTTGTAACGAAAGTGTTTGATAGTGCGAGTGGCATAGAATATATTGCTGTTTACGTGACGTTTCTATGTTCGTATCTGATTACCAGTAATGCGAATGTTTTATATAAAAATAATACTATTTTTTTGTTCCACGCCAAGGAACACACAAGTACACTCATTTCTCTGGATTTTCTCCTTTGGAAAATGCAGGTACGGCACTGTAATGGGAGGGCTTCTATCGGAGAATTACCTGCATGCCAAGGAGCCCAACAGCAAGTTTACCTCTCTTTGTATCTGCATCTATTAACTTTATGTATTGCAGCTATGGAACTGTAATGGGCGGGCTTCTATCAGAGAAGTATCTGCATGCCAAGGAGCCGAACAGGATGTTCATGTCTCTTTGTATTGCCAATTATTCCCCCCTCAATCGCAGCTGCGGTACCGTGATGGGAGGGCTTCTTTCAGAGAAGTATCTGCACGCCAAGGAGCCCAACAGCATGTTGATCTGTTACTGTACCTCCATTTGTTTACTTTACTCACTGCAGCTACGGCACTGTAATGGGAGGGCTTCTATCGGAGAAGTATCTGCACGCCAAGGAACCCAACAGCATGTTTGGGCCGCGCCTTGCCACGCCCTCTCTCAACAAGTACAAGCAGGTGAGAGGGAGGTGAGGGGAGGTGAGGGGAGGGGCCTTGTGAGTCGAGTCACGAGTCCCTGACGTGTGGGATGCTTCAATTACAGAGAAGTATCTGCACGCCAAGGAGCCCAACAGCATGTTCGGCCCGCGCCTTGCCACTCCATCTTTGAACAAGTGCAAGCAGGTGAGAGGGAGGGGGTTTGTGATTTGACTCAAAAAGGGTTTGCGTTCTATTGAACGAGTATATTCTGACAAGCCAACAACCCAACAGGGTTGTTGGCTTGGCTTGTCAGAAGGGAGTATGTTCGGCCCGCTCCCTGCCACTCCCTCTCTGAACAATTACAAGCAGGTGAGGGGAGGGGGTAAGTGTGGGAAGGAGGAGTAGAATCCACCCTCCCTCCTCTCGACTCCCTCTCTCAACAAGTTGAAATTATTGCCTACTGCGTTGCCACTCCCTCTCTCAACAAATACAAGCAGGTGAGCAGCGATAGCATTGGGTATGTTTGTGGGGGGAGGTGGGGCGTCGGGGGGATGCTATTGCCTACTGCGTTGCCTACTGTGTCGGGGACTTAGATGGTGAGCGTGCGTGCGGTTGCTGAGGAAGTGCGAGTTGGTGCGAGCGAGCTAGCACAGACCCATCTGTTTCACCTTCCTATACCTCCCCATATTCACCCTTCCCACAACACACTCAGATGGTGGATGCGTGGGGCGGCTGGGCGCTGTTCCAGGAGCTTCTGAGGGAGTGTGAGACGGTGGCTAAGAAGCACGGGGTTACCATCGCTGCAGTGGCCGTGCGCTCCATTCTCGACCAGGTGAATGGCACTCACACATACACGCACACGCATAAGCGCACATGCACGCATGCATGGTCGTGGCGAGGAAGCACGGGGTTACCATCGCTGCAGTGGCCGTGCGCTCCATTCTCGACCAGGTAACTGCACGCATGCATTCACAGAGCGCGGCACAAAACACCCTGAGGGGGTGTCCTGCTCGTTCATTTACTGTTCGTAAAGCCCTTCAGTTACCAGATTTTGCGTTGTAACACTGAATTTTACAAAAATGCCAGACACGATCAGCTCCCGTTCACGATACGGCACACCCCCTGCACGTACCTCGAATCGTGTGACGCACGTTACAGAAATCAGCGTGCGCATCGAACAATGGTACAGAACCGCGTCCTGCCCACTACAGTGAGTGCCCATCGTATCGCACGCTCGATTTCGCCACTGCAGCCTGACACTCGCCAAAACCAGTAGTGGAAGTGTTGGCTTGGCGAAAATTCCAACGCTTTGGTTGACGAGGGAACCGGTTACCTCGTTTCCACACGGCCCCTGCACTGTTGAAGTCTGTGTGGGGGGAATGTGTCCGCGCGCTCGAATTGACAAAAAGGGTGGACTCGACGCAGGTCGTATTCGTTTATAGGTACAGTGATCAGTTTTGAACCCCGGATCGTGAGGAGGTACTAAATTTCCCGAAATGAACGAGCTGGACACGCCCTGAAGTAGCATGTGATTACCACTGCTGCAGTGGCCGTGCGCTTCGCGGCCAGGTGAAAGTCTCAGACTCGCTTTTATTGACAAAGGTAAAAGGCACAGTCAGGCTGGGCTCTCTTCGGGAGCTGCCTAGGGAGTATGGAACCGCTTCCTTGAGAGCCGAGCAAGCAGCCACTGACATGGTGCGCTCAGCAGGGCTACCATCTCACTGACGAAGAAGCAGCCACTGAGACAGTGGCAAAGAAGCACGGGGTTACCATCGCTGCAGTGGCCGTGCGCTCTATTCTCAACCAGGTAAATGGCACCAACACATGGTTGAGAACAAGAAGTGCTTGTCTTGGATGCGGGCATAGAGGTAACATATCTACCCTGCTGTCGTTGCTTTGTGGTGGCTCAAGATTGAGACGTGCTTTAAGGCGCCGCCAAACAACAAGTGCTTGAGTTGAATGTGGGCATAGATGTAACCTATCGCCCCTGCTCTTGTTGCTCCCTTGTTCCTTCCTGTCCAACCAGCTAGCAGTAGCAGCATCAATGGTGGGAGTGCGGCTGGGCCTGCAGCAGCAAGAAGATATTTGACTTGCGATTGCATTTAACATAACAACCCTATATCCCCTCCTCTTATTGTTCCTTTTCCCACTGCCTGCCAAAGCAGCCAGCAGTAGCAGCATCCATGGTGGGCGTGTGGCTGGGCCTGCAGCAACACATCGCAGATAACAAGAAGATATTTGACCTGCGATTCAAATTAGGCCTGTTAATACCTATCTACCCTGCTCTTTATGTTGCCCTTCTCCTTTCATGCTGAAACAGCCAGCAGTTGCAGCATCGATGGTGGGCGTGAGGCTGGGCCTGCAGCAGCACATCGCAGACAACAAGGTGATCTTTGGTTTGAAATTGGACGATGAGGATAGGGCTAGGATCACCAGTGTTACCAGCAGAGGCAGGGACCTCCTCGCTGTGATTGGTGACTGCGGGGACGAGTACAGGTAGAGGCCTCTTCAACAGGACTCATGCGTTGGCCATACTGTCCCTTTCATATTTGACTTGCGATCGAGCGATGAGGATCGGGCAAGGGTTACCCTTTCATATTTGACTTGCTGGTATCAGTGTTACCAGCGGAGGCCGGGACTCATTGCTGTAATTGGTAATTTCGGGGATGAGTACAGGTAGAGGTCTCTTCAACAGGTTACATGACTCTCTTATAATAGACATACGGTATCCTGTACATGCACGTGCATCAACGAAGTATAGACAACATTACCTACTAACTATGGCGTGTTGGAAGCGAGCCACCAGAGCATGTTGGTCTTGGAGTTGCCATCATCAAAAGCACCTAGAGCAGCAATGTTCGTCCTGGCCCCCTGCGGGTCGTACAGCGCCTGCAGTGCCCACGCAAAGCCGCGCCACTCGTCCGTGGCGGCGCCGCTCAGCACGGGTTGCGCCCACTCCACCAGCTGCTTAGCAAACTCGGGGTCAGGGAAGAGGTGCTTGAGGTAGGGCGTTACGGGCAGCACCTGGATGCCCACACGCTTCTCCATGTCCGCCGGCGGGGCGAACCACAGCGCCGCATCGCGCTTCGTGGACCACAGCACGCCCACCACACGGTTGGCGTCTGCAAACACCGCCTCGTATGCGGGCGACAGGGAGGGCTCCGGGGCGGATGAGCCGAGCGGCACGTGCATGAGGGTCTGCCCGGCGAGGGCCTCCACGGCTGCGAGTGTGGCGCCCAGCGAGGCGAGCGGCTGGTCGCCCAGCACGGAGGCCAGCAGCGCCCCCGCGTAGTACGCGTTGGCCGCCTCGCTGAAGCTCTCCTGGTTGCGCCCGTCGCCGAACTCAAACAGCCCGCTGGCCCACGAGTGCAGCGCGTACGCGTCAAAGTGCCGCAGCCTTGGGAACGCCGCCGTGCGCTCCGGCGACATGTAGTCCGCCATCAGGTCCTTGAGCGGCGCACGGTACTGGTCGCGCCACGCGGGGTCGAACTTGGCGACGGTAGCAGCGGCGTAGATGAAGTAGCCGTAGTGGAAGTGGTGGTCGTTGTACATCCCCGCTCCAAACTCCGCCCCCTGGTCAAGCGACCCCGCCTCGCTCACCACACCGCCCCACGTGGGGTCGTACAGCAGGCGGTTACCAGGGAAGGTGCCGTCCAGCCATGCGGAGAGCGCGGATCGCAGGGGCGGCAGCACGGCGGCCAGGCTGTCGTCATCTTGCACCTGCTTCGCGATCAGCGCCAGGCGGGCGGCGCGCGCCGCTGTCTTGCCGAAGAAGTAGGTGGAGGGGGAGGTGAGGGGCGGCAGCGCGGCCACATCCTGCTTGAGACTGGTCCTCAGCTCGTCCTGCAGCTGCGGGTCGGACGAGAGGGGCCCCGCACGCCACGTGGAGGGGCGCTTGGGCACATTGAGGTGCCACACCGCCCCCTGCATGCCCACCGCCTGGCCGTCGATGGTGGGGTATGCCAGCACTGATGCATCCGGCACCGACGCAGCTCGCACGGACGACCATGGTGCACTGCTGCGTGCGTTGGAGGGGGTGGCAGAGGCGGGGTTGTGGTGGCCGCGGAGGGCGCCCATGGCGCCTGAGGGTGAGCCGCTGCTGTGACGGCGGAGGGTGGAGGGAAGGGAGGGGCTGTGCACGCTCACTTCCATGCGCCGGTGCACTGCTCATGGGGGAGGGAGGGGGAGAGGGGACAGAGAAGGAACAAGGGAGAAGGGGGTTAGTTTGACGGACAGATGATGAGGGCATTCCAGGTGACGTAGCAGCACACATGGCAACACAAGTGGCAGCACACATGGCAACACAAGTGGCAGCACGGCGCTACTCACTTGGCAGCGAGAGCATGAGCAGCGGCGCCTCGGTGTCGCCGTTAGCCAGCTCGCGCCACTGCTGGGTGCGCCAGGTGTACTCGATGCGGAACGCGCCCACCTGCGCGCTCCCCCCCACCGGCACCGCGGGCACGTGCGCGTCCAGCAGCGCCTCCTCGTCCTGCGGGGAGGCGCCCGGCAGCAGCGCCACGCGCATCGTCCCCGTGAATGGCGCATCCGCCGCTAGTGTCGACCCGTCCTGCCGCATCGCCAGTGGCGACGACAGGTACACCAGCCACGTCTGGTGGGGGGTAAGGAGGGGTGGAGAGGGGAAATGAGTGGGGAGGGGGGTGGTGAGTACAAAACGTGAGCAAGCGGAGCGGGGAGATAGGTGGGACAATGAGCGAGTGAGAGGTGGGTACGTGCTTGAAGAATGAAGGGAATGGGGCTCGTCGTGGCAGAGTGGGAGCGGGGAGCTGACCTGGCCGTTGTTGAGGGCGATGCGGTACTTGCTGTTGTCGCCACTGGGCTCCACGCCCGTGATGGCGTGAATCGTCATCAGCACGAGCGTCGCTGGGGGTCCGCCCGGGGGGAATATGAACGTGAGGAAGGGAGACCCGCGCACCAGGGGGACCTCGAGCGCGGGGGGATCGGAGGGCGCGGAGGAGGGTTGGCGGAAGGAGAGGGTGGCGGAGAGGTCGTCGTAGGCGGAGAGTTGATGGGGGGGAAGGCCCTGCAGCGTGGAGAGCATGAGCGCCGTCACGAACGCCTGCACGATGTACCCCGGTTGCGGGTCGCGCACCGGCAGCCCCCACGCGACGCGCCCCTCCGCGCTCTGCACCACGTACGGCGTGACGAGCTCGGGGTTGCCGCCCTGCCCCAGCACGAAGTTCTGGCACGGCGCGTTCGTCGGGTACGGCGCCTGGGGAAGGGGAAAGAGGGGGAGTTGAGCGGGATGAGGGGAAAGGAGGGATGAAAGCACGGGGAACAGAGAGCGCGCGCAGATGGGGGAAGCGGAGAGCGCGCGCCGACTGGGGAGGGCTGGGGAACTCACGGTGAGGTTGGCGGACCAAAGGGCGGAAGGCGCGGGAGCGACAGTGGAGGAGAGCGCGGGGAAGGCCGCCGACGCCATGGCGGTGGGGATCAGACGCGCTCGGAGTGCAGCGGAGATGGGACGCGCACAGATTGCGGCGCGGATGACAGGAGGAACGAGCTTGGCGGGGTTGGCAAGGCAAGGCTGCACGCTGGGCGGGTGGGTGCGGTGAGGCGCCCGCCGTGAAGGTCAGTTGCGGTCGGGGGGTTTGAAGGCGCTAAATCGGTGCTGCCGGACGGAGGATGGCTGTTGGCGCCAGTGATGATTCGTAGACTCTGTGATCGCGGGAGCTACTAAATACATCACTTCGTCGTGGCCGTGTGATGTCGCGTCCCGTGATGGCAGTGACGCCATAGCGCCGGACGCGGCGGACCGTGGGGCCCGCGACACGCGAATCAGTCGGGCACGCGGAATTCGAGTCCGCCACACTGCTACGACAGAGTCGCGGGCTCTAACTTCAGTCGAACCGCTCGCTTGAATTCAACGGTCATCGACTTCTCCACACCACAGTAATGTGGCAATGCGGCACTCATGACTGATTGAAGGTACCTGCCCTGGTTCAACTCTGCGCCATCCTTTGCCCTCCCTGGTACACGCGTGCAGTGCAAGGTTGGAATGGCACAGGAGCACCCACCCACCTCGCCTCGCCTGTTACCCTCTTTCAGCAAGGCAACGTTGCGACCAAAGCAATGCGTGCGCGATGTTCCAGTCGGGTGTTAACGACCAATGCGAAAAGATGCTGAGACATCGTTAGTCTCGCAAGCACCTTGTTCTTCGAGGTTCAGCGAACATGCAGGTGAAGTCGAGATGGGCTGTGCAGTACGGCATGTGCTTCTCTGTGTTTGATTTGAACCAATAAAGTTTGTTATACTGTACAATAATCCGTATCCTCACATTCGATGCGCTCGTGAAACCCAGAGGTCATCTTCGGGCGCGTTCACATTCATCCATTTCTCGAAGATTCGCTAAGTACGAGAAAATACCTCCTTCGAGAGACTCCAATTAGCGACGCATTCATTTTTGAGAGGGGGCCGAACCCAGTTGACATCAGAAGTACGGGTCGAGTGTCAGAGCGCGTTTCGTCAGCATTCAGCAACGAAGAGAGCCTCATTCGCATAGCCCCTATCAACAGCTTGCAAGTTCTAGAATCTCTACTTCCTAAACTTGCATCGTCTCAGTTACCTGCCTCTAAGGTCAACCCTTGCAGAAATTAGCAGTACAAAATCCCTCAGAACCAGTGGCACGTTTCCGCTAGTTAACTTTCTTCCTTCGAACGTCTTACGTCGATCTAAACTCCAGCTCTCTCGCACCTTCTCGCTCGCCACACGCTGTTTCTCTCTCCGCAGACGAACAACATGTTCCTGCGACGCTCAGTGCGGACACTGAACGGAGCAGCCTCTAGCGCTGTATTGTCGTCCCTGTTGCATCGAACGGCTCACGTTAGACCGCCATTTGCTGTGCCTGCAGCCGTTGATTCGCTTCAACAGCAGCAGTTTCAATGTCGCGGATTAGCTACTGGATCAGAAGCAGGTAAATCTCATATCTTGCTCTCAAAAACCAAACCACTCTCATTTCGCGCAAAATGCTCCTGATACCGTCTAGCCGTCCGACCTGCATCGAACGGCTCGCTCTTAGCATTGGCGCGCGCTGCCTGCAGCCGTTGATTCCGGTTCAGCTGTCGCTGCATAGGAAGGGCCGACGACAATACCATGCCATGAACGAGCCGTCTTATTTCCCGATATCGTGGTGCCTTTTATTCCGGCATTACAAGCATGTTAGGTGCGATTCGGCTTATTAGTGCTTTTGTGAGGAAGATTTCATCTCCAGTTCATGCTGCCTGTAGCACGACTCGCACGTCCCCTCTCCCTCGTGCAACGAGCAGCGGTCAGGGGCATCAGTGGGAGCACAGCCCAACCATGCACGGGCCTTCAGATAACCTCTGCCTTCTCTACTGTCCCCGCACTTTTCCCCTGGCCCTCCCCAGCCCCCCCATACGACTCGCATATACCACTCTCGCCCTTGCAGCGTGCAGCAGTGGCTGTGGGGGCGTCAATGGGAGCTCTGGCCAACCCTGCGCGGGCGGATCTGAAACCCACATACAAATCCCCACCCGCCTTCACCTCCCCATCCCCTGTTCCTGTTCCACCCTCCAGCTCCCCTATACAACTCGCACGTCCCCCTCTCCTCCTTGCAGCGAGCAGCAGTGGCTGTGGGGGCGTCAATGGGAGCTCTCGCCAACCCTGCGCGGGCGGATCTGGTGATCTCCACCCCCTTTCATCTCCCCCTCCCCCGTTGTCCCCTTCGTATCCCTTTTCTTTCCGCCCTCCGCAGTCCCCCTGTACGACTCGCACGTCCCCCTCTCCTCCTTCCAGCGCGCAGCAGTGGCTGTGGGGGCGTCAGTGGGAGCTCTCGCCAACCCTGTCCGGGCCTTCATAAAACCCCTTGCTCCCTCCACTGTCCCTGCTCACACCGTTCCCCTGCCTCCCTGCAGCCCCCAATTACAATTCGCATATACCACTCTCCCCCCTCCAACGAGCAGCAGTGCCATAGGGGCGTCAGTGGGAGCACTGGCCAACCCTGCCTGGGCAGATATGAAACCCTCGTACTATTCCCCAACCCCCTTCATCTCCCCGTCCCTTGTTCCTGTTCCGCCCTCCCAGCCCCCCTATACGACTCCCCACGTCCCCCTCTCGCCTCTCCAACGCGCAGCAGTCACCATGGGGGCATCGGCGGGCGCTCTGGCCAACCCTTCCCTTCTCTCCCTTCCCCCGTCTCCCTCTCCCCAGCTCCTCTTTACGACTCCCATGTCCCCCTCTCCCCACTCCAACGAGCAGCAGTGGCCAAAGGGGCGTCAGTGGGAGCACTGGCCAACCCTTCCCGGGCCTTCATACAAGTCCTGCCCAATCCACTGTCCCCACACCTTCCCCCTCCCTCCCTGCAGCACCCCTATACGACTCGCATATACCACTCTCCCCCCTGCAACGAGCAGCAGTGCCATAGGGGCGTCAGTGGGAGCTCTGGCCAACCCTGCACGGGCCTTTAGATAACCTGTGTCTCCCCTCCCGCATTTCCCTCCCAGTCCCTCTATACGACTCTCACATCCCCCTCTCCCCTCTTCAAAGAGCAGCAGTGGCCATAGGGTCGTCAGTGGGAGCACTGGCCAACCCTGCGCGGGCGGATCTGGTGGCGGCAGTGGGGGAGACGACTGGGGTGGTGGCGCTGGGGCGCATCAGGGAGCAGATGAGAACGACAGAGGAGGGCAGGGTGAGTTGTGGTATTAGTGTTACATGTGTGTATGTATACATATGCATGTGTATTAGGGCGGATCTGGTGGCGGCTGTGGGGGAGATGACTGGGGGGGTGGCGCTTGGACGAATCAGAGAGCAGATGAGGGCAATAGAGGAGGGACGGGTGAGTGCAGTGTGCATACGCATGTGTCTATATGCATGCATGTGTGTATAGCAGGCACTTGATGTGGAGCCATCAGTGGGAGCACTGACCGACCCTGCACGGGCAGATTCGAAGCAACTTGCGCTCACCTCGTGCAATGCAGATGCTCTTTTCGGAGCGGCCTATGCTCACCTAATGGAATTTCTTTCCATGCATTTAACCCCATCTACCAACCGCCACCAGGCCATTCTGGGGGAGAAACCCCGGGTGACAGACGCCACACTGCAGGCAGCAGAGCAGTGCGGCAGAGGCACCTTCGGAGCAGCATACGCTCACTTCATGCGCTCTCGTCGTTTTGAGCCCCACGAACGTCCCCCTGTGCGCTTCATTGACGACCCTGAGCTGGCCTACGTGGCCACACGGTGAGTCAAGAGTCTCTGTGAGTGTGCGTGGGGGCTGACGGGGGCCTTTGGAGCAGCCTTTGAAGGCTCACTCCATGCGTTCTCACCACTTCCCGCCCCATGAACGTCCGCCCGTGTGCTTCATTGACGACCCTGAGCTGGCATACGTGGCCACACGGTGAGTAGAGTGTGGGTGGTGAGAGTATGGCCCACTTACTGTGTGCGCATGGTTGGATGCTTGGTGCTGCATGAGCGCCCTCCTGTGCGCATGAGCGCCCTCCTGTGCGCATGAGCGCCCTCCTGTGCGCATGAGCGCCCTCCTGTGCGCATGAGCGCCCTCCTGTGCGCATGAGCGCCCTCCTGTGCGCATGAGCGCCCTCCTGTGCGCATGAGCGCCCTCCTGTGCGCATGAGCGCCCTCCTGTGCGCATGAGCGCCCTCCTGTGCGCATGAGCGCCCTCCTGTGCGCATGAGCGCCCTCCTGTGCGCATGAGCGCCCTCCTGTGCGCATGAGCGCCCTCCTGTGCGCATGAGCGCCCTCCTGTGCGCATGAGCGCCCTCCTGTGCGCATGAGCGCCCTCCTGTGCGCATGAGCGCCCTCCTGTGCGCATGAGCGCCCTCCTGTGCGCATGAGCGCCCTCCTGTGCGCGTCATTGACGATCCTGAGCTGAGCTGTGTGGCTTGTTGATGACCCTGACTTTTGAGTCGACTCAAAAGTCACCTCGTTACAATGGCACTCCGCCCGTGCGGCTTGTTAATGACCCTGAGCTGGCATATGTGCCCACACGGTGAGTCAAGCGTTCAAGTGTTTGGGTGAGGAGTATAGGGGAAGGATCTGTCTGACAAGGCCTTTAGAGTGGCCTATGCCTACATCAGCGGTCTGCAGATTCCTGCCGCATGAAAGCCCGCTTGTGCGGTTCATTCATTTACAACCCAGAGTTTGCGCATGTGGCCACACGGTGAGTATAGCGTTTGAGTGAGGAGTTGAAGAGAGCCATTTTTGAGAACTCAGAAAAATCTCCCAACAAGGGTTGGTGGTTGTTGAGGTGGTTGTTGAGGTGGTTGTTGAGGTGGTTGTTGAGGTGGTTGTTGAGGTGGTTGTTGAGGTGGTTGTAGAGGTGGTTGTAGAGGTGGTTGTTGAGGTGGTTGTTGAGGTGGTTGTTGAGGTGGTTGTTGAGGTGGTTGTTGAGGTGGTTGTAGAGGTGGTTGTAGAGGTGGTTGTTGAGGTGGTTGTTGAGGTGGTTGTTGAGGTGGTTGTTGAGGTGGTTGTTGAGGTGGTTGTTGAGGTGGTTGTTGAGGTGGTTGTTGAGGTGGTTGTTGAGGTGGTTGTTGAGGTGGTTGTTGAGGTGGTTGTTGAGGTGGTTGTTGAGGTGGTTGTTGAGGTGGTTGTTGAGGTGGTTGTTGAGGTGGTTGTTGAGGTGGTTGTTGAGGTGGTTGTTGAGGTGGTTGTCGAGGTGGTTGTTGAGGTGGTTGTTGAGGTGGTTGTTGAGGTGGTTGTTGAGGTAGTTGTTGAGGTGGTTGTCGAGGTGGTTGTTGAGGTGGTGGTAGGCCCCCCTTCCTCTTCTAACCTCCTCTCTCTCGCCCCTCCCCTTGTTTGTCTGACCCTCGCCCCCTGGCTGCCTTCTCCTTCTGCTCCTGTCTCCACAGGCTAAGGGAGGTGCACGACTGTTGGCATGCCATATTCGCCCTCCCCACCACCGTATCCGGCGAGCTGGCTCTCAAGCTCATCGAGTTCACCCAAACGGGCCTCCCCATGTGCCTCCACCCTTTCCCTCCCTTACACTCCCCTCACCCCGTCCGTTCTCTCCTCCCCCCCTCTCTCGTTGTCAGATTAAGGGAAGTGCACGACTTTTGGCACACTGTGTTCGCCCTCCCCACCACTGTATCCGGTGAACTAGCCCTCAAGCTCATCGAGTTCACCCAAACCGGTCTCCCCATGTGCCTCCACCCTTTCCCTCCCTTACACTCCCCTCGCCCCGTCCGTTCTCTCCTCTCCCCCTCTCTCGTTGTCAGATTAAGGGAAGTGCACGACTTTTGGCACACTGTGTTCGCCCTCCCCACCACTGTATCCGGTGAACTAGCTCTCAAGCTCATCGAGTTCACCCAAACCGGTCTCCCCATGTGCCTCCTCGCGTCCCTAGGCGCACCTATCCGCCTCTCTCCCGCCCGCCGCTCCCTCCTCTCCTCCATCTACCCCTGGGCTCTGGGAGCTGGTATCAGAGCGGTGCCGCTAGCGGGAATTTATTACGAGAGGCGGTTTGGGGAGGATCTGAGTGACTTGAGACTGGAGTGGAAAATCGCCCCTGCTCCACCGCGGTTCTTTGAAAGGAAAGGTGCTGCTGCGAGCTAGTAGTCTCCCTCCTCCTCTCCTCCATCTACCCCTGGGCTCTGGGCGCTGGTACCAGAGCCGTGCCGCTAGCGGGGATCTATTACGAGAGAAGGTTTGGGGAGGACCTGAGTGATTTGAGACTGGAATGGAATATCGCCCCTGCTCCACCCCGGTTCTTTGAAAGGAAAGGGGCTGCTGCTGTTGCCGCTGCCGTTTAACCTGGTTCTGTTGCTGCTGCTAACTAATACTGCTGCTGCTACAGATGGTGGTTCTGGTGGTACGATGGGTGCAATATAGCGTCCCTCCTCCTCTCCTCCATCTACCCCTGGTCCTTGGGGGCTGGTATCAGAGCCGTGCCGCTAGCGGGGTTTTATTACGAGGGAAGGTTTGGGGAGGACCTGAGATATGAGGCTCGAGTGGAGAATCGCCTCTGCTCCTTCCCGGTCTTTGAGAGGAAAGGTGCTGCTGCGAGCTAGTAGTCTCCCTCCTCTCCTCCATCTACCTCTGGCCCCTGCTGTTGTTAACAGAGGTGATTGTTTTGAAGGAGATACGTATACAGTGTAATGCTGCTCTTTACAGTACTGACATAAAAGTTTTATACCCCAAGGCTGTCTTATGTTGCAAAACCTGTAGAGTTCTTCCTTTGTACATACCTTATGGATGCAGTTTTCTTTGGAATGAGGCAAGGTAAGGTACCATTCTTCAGACTGTATAGGTAGTAGAGGAGTGAAGAAAGCAAGGTGAGGAGTGGTCGCATAACTGTTACCACATGCAGGCACCATTTCTTACTGAGTCTTTCCACCCTTTTTTGACACCAGGCGCACAGCAAAGGTCTTGGGTCCCACCTCCTCTGTAATGCGAAGGAGGAAGGGAGGTGGAGGAAAAGGGAGGCCAGGGGGGTGGGGAGGGGGGAGTTTGGGGAAAAGAGGGGGATGGGGAAGATTCGAAGGTGGAGAGGTAAGGGATCGGCAGGAAACGTGAAGCAAGGCAATAATGCTTGATGCGGAGTGGAACAAAACTATATTAAGAACAATCATGAACAGGTGCCTCGATGGTAGCCACACAGCAAACAAACTCGCTCCCACGTGGGCTTGAACCACCGACCTTATGGCTAACAGCCATACGCTCTAACCAGCTGAGCTACGAGAGCTATTATCGTTGAGAAACAATTTTTTAAAAAATGTTTAGATAGCTGCGCCTCACGAGAGTCGTATTGGACACGAGTCCAGGTTTCCACGTTGGAGACGAGGCCTTTTAATTAGGAGGAAACGATCATTGCGGACCGCCTTCGGGGCCGCATGAGCACTAAAAATATTACCTAAGGGTGGAGAATAGACGAAGAGACAAAGTGGCAATTATTCAGAGGAGATTGTAAAAACAGAGCGGGGGAGGAAGGGGCCATACACAGGCTAGCCACCAATAAGGGTGCGCAGGGTCAGACGCGACCCTGCGCAGATGAACACCCGCGAACCTCTGCACCAACTGCGCCACTCGCACATGTGCACGAGACGTTTGCGTTGCACTCGCGGATGCTTCAGTTACTCTTGCATGGGTTCCCTAGTACACCTCGTGTACAGGCAACCCAACCTGCGCAGAAGCTCCAGATCTCGCGCAGAGGGTCGGCTGCATCTCCCACACACCCGACCACGAAGTCAGTTTTGCCCAAGCGAGGGTGGGGCCAACTTCCTTCAACACGGCAGTGAGAGAGAGAGAGGAGGAGGGACGGATGTTGGCGCGACAGAGACCTCTCCCCACTCCCTTACCCTTCCCCCAACAGCCCGCCACTTCCACCTGCACTACCCCCTCCTCCCATAACCGCCATCCCCTTCCCCGTTTCCTTCCCCTCCCCCCCCTACAGCGACCGTCGCTGTAGACACTTACGGCATCGACGAGGAGGGGCGAGATGAGCAGCGGGGGCGGGCGAAACGGGCGCACGCAACGGGCGCGCGCAACGGCCGCGACAAGCGTCGCGATTAGGGCCGCGGCAGGGCGAGACGGGGGGCTGGAACGGGGGGCTCGCCGGAGTTCGCGACGAGCAGGACGCGGCGGCCAACGGGCGGGCGACGCGGGGGGCAGCACAGCCACGGGCGACGGGGCGACGAAGCGACGACGGGGAGCGCGTGTGCGACGGGCTGAAGCAGCGGATAGCACGCGGGCGGCGGGCTGCAGGCAGCGCGACGAGCTCATCGTCGGGGCGCTCTCGAGGCAGACTACGGGCTGCGCGACGGGGCGCGCCATGGCGAGTGGTGGGCCCATAAAATAAACGGTCCTGGCTCGGGACCCGCTCTGATACCATGTCAAAAGGAGAAGTTAAGCATAGGAGCCATGGCTAGGGTTTTGGGAGTAGAGAGTAGTGTTAGAGAGAGTTGGCCAACAAAAAGGGGTTTCACTAAAGGGCCAAAGGCCCAAGTTATACAAGAGACAATCAAGGAGAGGTGCACCACAAGCAGGAAACCATATAACTACACTATAGCTAGAACTATATGCAGTTATACAGAAATATATATAAAATATATTCTGACAGGGGAGGGGGAGGGGGAGGGGAGGAGAGGAAAGCATGCAAGTTCTGCCAAGGGAGAAATGGACGGTATGGGTACATGTATACGTAGGGGTAAAGAGGGTCTTATGGGCAGTACCTGCACATTCGAAGGCCACGAGAAGGACAAGATGCGTGGTAAGGAAGTGTATGTAAGAACCTTAGTAACCAAGTTATGTATAAAGGGGTTGAAGTTATTAGGAAGCATAGGGTACAAATAGTGAGGGTCGAGAGAAATTGTGTACCCTCTAAGCACTACCTCATTGCAGCCTATCTAAATGATATGAACATTTGAAACACCCCCATAGGCTAAGGGTGTGTCTCCATTTTGCCCCCAACGGTTCGAACCGTGGATGGTCCGAACTGCGAAAAGGTTACCAGCGTCGGTCGCATCTTTTCGTGACGTATTTCGTGAAAGAGTGTGCGACGTCGTCAACAATCCGAACCGTCGCGTCACTTTTTACTCCTTTCAACGATTCGGAATCTGAACTCTTGACAGTTCGGAAACCAAACGAACGGTGCAACAGTACTAACTAGAGATTGGCGCGTGACTTTTTCTGAAAATATGAAATCAGATTGGCTCACGAGATTTGCAGAAAAGCTGTCGTGAATTGTGTAACGACGCTACAGTGTCTCTAGCGAGGCTACAGTACTTCGGGAAATTCAAAACACTGAAAAAAATGTCAGTCTTGCACTCGGATGGGGCAAAGTTCCGAATGGCAATTCGCACAGTCCGGTTCTCGCATTCGGACCGGCCGGTACCAAAAAAGTGAACCGTCAGGAAAATTGCTGAAAATCAGAATGGAGACACGCCCTAAGTGAGGGGCATCAAAACAAAAACTAAAGAATCAAATGGTCACAAGACCAGTCAAGAGAAGCAACAATGCAAAAACTCAGGGTGGATCACGAAGTCCCTACACAATCTGAGCATAAGCAGGCGGCCACAAGGCCAGTTCAAGAGTTCACATATATATATATATATATATATATATATATATAGGTACAACAAGAAACAAGAAGTCAGACTACAATAACCGAGGGCCTACGTCAACAAGGCCTAGCTGCAGACAGCGCCTGTGGTGGTCACCAGGCGGACGGGCCTTGGTGAAGATGTTTGCAGTATTTGTTAGAAATATAGTATAGCATGCTAAGTGTAATAGGGTTGGGGCTACACCCAACTTTGGGTGTAGCTTGCTTTGTAGGCCTACACCCAACATTAGGGTGTAGACTTGCAAGTTGGGGTGCCAATCCAACCCATAAGTGTTGGAGCCCCCAAGTGCAAGTTGGGTACCCCCTCTTTGCAACCCACAAGTTGGGTGCCCCCTCCTTGCAACCCACATGGTCCTTGTTGCAAGTTGGGTGCCCCCTCCTTGCAACTTGGGATGGGGCTTGCCAACCACCCAACTCCCCCCTTCCCTTCCAATCTCCTCTTCCATCCAATCTCACCACTCTATGTATGCTTGCTTGTGACCTAATCAAACTATTGGTTCAACTTCCAACTTTCACATGGTATAGAGCTAAAATTTTCCTTGGCCTTACCTCCCCCCCTTCAATTTTTGTTCCTCAAGGGCCCACCCTACCGTACCAAACCCTTCGCTACCATTCGCATATCTCACGCCGCGACCCTCACGTCGCCGCCCTCCCTTCCCTTCCGCCGCGACCTTCATCGTCGCTGCCATCCTTCCTCCCCGCCGCGACCTCACCGTCGCCGCCGTCCTCCCTTCGGCGCTCTCCCGCCGCGGCCTCTCCGCCGCCGCCCATGCCCTTCCGCCCCGGCCCCCTTCGCATTTCCCGCCGACGCGATTGCGCCGTCGCCACCCGCGGATTCCGCCGCCGCGATCGCCGCGTCGCCTCCCACTCTTCCCGTCGACGCATCTGCGCCGACGCCGACTGCCCTTCCCGCCGGCGCGACCACTCCGTCGCCGCCTGCCCCTCCCGCCGCCGCGACCACGCCGTCGCCGCCTGCCCCTCCCGCCGCCGCGACCCTGCCGTCGCCGCCTGCCCCTCCCGCCGCCGCGACCACGCCGTCGTCGCCTGCCCTTCCCACCGCCGCGAATACCCTGTAGCCGCCTGCCTTTCGCGCTGCCGCGACCGCACCGTCGCCGCCCACCCTTTCCGCCGACGCAACTGCGCCGTCGCCGCTTGCGGTTCCCGCCGCCGCGATCGCATCGTCGCCGCTCATCCCTCCCGCCGTCGCACTCGCTCTGTCGCCGCCAGCAATTCTCGCCGCCGCGACTACCCGCACTTCCCGCCGCCGCATCTGCCTGTCCCTGCCTGCGTTTCCCGCCGACGCAGCTGCGCCGTTGCCGCCGGTGGTTCCCACCGCCGCGATTGCCCCCCCCCTCCCCCCCCCCCTTCCCCCTCCCCCCCCTCCCCCCTCATTTCCCGCCGACGCGTTTGCACCGTCGCCGCCTGCTATTCCCGCCGCTGCGACAGCACCGTCACTGCCCGCATTTCCCGCCGCTGCGGCCTTCCGGACGACGCGGTCTTCTCGCAGCCAGTGTTTTGTGCCGCCGTCGCCGCAATCTCCTCGCCACTGCTGCCCTCGGTCTCACCGCCGCCGCATTCCCGCCGCTCCACCTACGCCTTCGTCACCGCCGCCTCCTTCCCGCCGCTGCACCCTCCCTTCCCCCTCTCCCTCCTCCTCTCCCTCTCACCCCCCTCAGCAGCAGCAGCAGCCGAACCAGCAGCAGCAGCGGCAGCAGCAACTGCAGCACCACCAGCAACTGCACCCTCCCTTCCCCCTCTCCCTCCTCCTCTCCCTCCCCCCCCCCCCCCCCCCCCTCTGCAGCAGCGGTAGCAGCGTCAGCAGCAGCAGCAAGCGGTGGAGCACAGCAGCATCAACATCGGCAAGCGGTGGAGTGCAGCAGCGGCAGCAGCGGACGGTGGAGTGCACCAGCAGCAGCAGCAAGCGGTGGTGCGTGGCAGCAGCAGCATCGGCAGCACACGGTGAGGTGCAGCAGCAGCAGGAGGAGTGCAGCGGCAGCAGCAGCAGCAGGAGGAGTGCAGCGGCAGCAGCAGTAGCAGGAGTGCAGCGGCAGCAGCAGGAGGAGTGCAGCGGTAGCAGCAGCAGCAACTAGAGAAGGAGTGCAGCGGCAACAGCAGCACCAGGAGGAGTGCAGCGGCAGCAGCAGCAGCGGGAGATGGAGTGCAGCAGCCTCAGCAGCAGCACCCTCCCCCTTGCCGCTGCGGGTCCACCCGCCGTCACCCCTCATGGCTGCGAACCCCCCTGCCCCTCTCCCCCCTCCCATCGACGCTTCTTCAGTCACAAGCTGCAACTCGCTGCAGATCGATCGGCCATCAATTGGTACTCCTTTGTCGGCAGCATTCGCCGCGTCCTCCAGGACGCTTTCGTCGGACCCTACTGCGTCCTTGACGTCCTCCTTCGCCGTCCGCAAGCTCTCCAGCCGACAGCGCCCACTCACCCTGGTGAACCGCCTCCTCTCCCTCCTCCTCCTGGCTCTCCTCCTACCGAGCCTAACCTGGAACTGGCCGCTACCCCTGCGCTTCAAGCTGCCGCCGACGCCACCTTTCTCCACGATCACCGCGAATACCTCATCCGCAAGGCCACCCATGAAGTTGCTGTGCACAACTACGAGTTCGCAACATCGGACCGTGCCAATCGCCTGGCGATGCTTGCCGATTACAACACGGCCATGGCGCTTCACATCCCCAACAGCATCGCCTGGGCCGCTGCCGACAACCACGCCTGCACCATCCTCCTCGGTGCGCTCCCCGACACCCTCATGCACCGCTTCCAAGCTCGTGAAATGCGAGCCTCCCTGATTTGGGCCGAGCTCCAGTCAATGTTTGAGCGTCGCGACATCAGCTCTGTCGGCGTTGTCTTCCAGGAATATTTCTCCATTGCCCTCGCCACCTGTGACGGCGCAGTCGACTACGTGGGGCGCATGCAGGAGGTCGCTGATCGCCTTGCGGCTTGTCAGGCTGCCCTCTTCGAGCCACTGCAGATTCACCGTCTCCTCTTCAACCTCACGCCGGATTACGAGTCCCGCCTGCACGCCTTCACTGAGGCAAACTCCCTGGCTGGCCTGAACGAGGTGGTCCAGTGGATTATTGACACGGAGGTCAAGCTCCGCACCCCCATTGTCAAACTCACCACCCCTCAGTCCTCCTCCTCCACCTCCCTCAATGCCACGCAGCCACGCAACCAGGGTGGTCGCAACAGCGGTGGAGGAGGTCGTGGAGGGGGCGGAGGTGGTGGTGGCCGTGGTGGCCGTGGTGGAGGAGGTGGTGGTACCACTCCTGGCTGTCCTGCTGGTGCCGGTGGTGCTGTGAGTCGTGGAGGACGCCCGGGCATACTCCCGCCCTGCACGTATGTCCGCCGTCATGGTCCCCACGCCGGCATGCCCTGTGGTCAGACCAACCACCCCCCTGCCACGTGCTTCAAGGCGCTCGATGACGCCTGGTTTGATCGCGGCAACACTGGTACCCCTCCTCGCTGGAACAGTGTTACCCCTTGCCCCTCCCTCGTGGACATCCAGACCCTCCCCTCCTTCCTCCCTGCTCACCTCCGCCTGCTCACCCCCTCTCCCCCTTCCCAGCTGCAGCAGTTTCAGCAGCACCGGCAGCAGCAGCAGTACTTCCCGCAGCAGCAGCAGCCACAGTTTCTCCAGCCACAGCTACCGCAGTTTTTCCAGCCGCAGCAGCCACCGCAGCAACAGTTCTTCCAGCAGCAGCAGCCGCCGCAGTACCTTCAGCCGCAGTGGCAGCAGCAGCCGATGACCTTCGGCACAGCGGCCATGGCCGCTCATGCCTCCCTTGCTCCCCCCCCTTGGGGTTCCCTCCCCCTGCCCCCCCCAGTGTCCCTGACTCTCAGGGCAGTTTCCTTGGTCATGTTACTGTTGCACCATCCGTCGCTTCCATGTATCCCTCTGCTATCGATGAGACGTCTTTCCAGTACCCCGTGTCACCTCCCCCTCCTTCCTCCCCCACCCTGGACTTTGTCCTTGATAGTGGGGCCACAGAAACTGCACTAAAAGACGCTGGCACCCTCACCCCCCTTCCACTTCCCACCCAGGTTCATGGTGCTGACTCCAGCTTTTCCATCCCATGCACTCACCTCTCCACCCTCCCTTGCACCGCCTTCCCATCTGGTAAGGTCACAGCTCTCCACATCCCTACCCTTCGCAACAACCTCCTCTCCCACTGCGAGCTCCAAGGCGTTGATATTACTGCTATTTACCATGGCTTTGCTTCCTACTATGATCTCTACCACACCGCCTCTGGTCGCTTCCTCCTGCGAGGTCTGGACGAGTACAAGTCATCAGGTACATGAGGCAGCCCACAAGCTCTCCATAAGGGCCACTAGACTCAAAGGCCTCGTTGGAAAAAGGGCCGGTGAGTCTGTGGTCAACGGCAAGAGGAGTGGGCTGTGTGGTGGAGAACTGAAGCCCGAACCGCTGAAGGACCTACTGCAACATGTGTGACTGTGAGAGTGTGTTGGTGCGAGCGGCTCTTTCCCTGGTGGTCTGCAAGTCAAGGTAGCGGCGTAGTTCACCCAGGTCAGTGCACGTGTGTCTCTTCTGCAGTTCGGACTTCACCTCAGCCAGCGCGGCCATGTCTGCTGTTGCGAAGACCAACTCGTCGACGTAGATGAGGACGAAGAAAGGTGTGGACCCAGAATGAACGAACAACGACGGGTCGGCGGATGAAGGATGAAACCCCAGGGCCGCAAGAGTGGTGCGCAGCGTGTCGTGCCACTCACCGGGCGCCTGACGGAGACCGTAGACTTGTCGTCTCAGGCTCCACTGGGTCCCAGGCAGGAAAGTACCAGTGAATCCAGGAGGACGGCACTGCCAGATCTCCTCGTGCAGGCGGCCCTGGAGAAAGGCAGTTGAGAAGTCGAGGTAGTGCAGCTCGTAGTCTCGCTGAGCTGCAACGTGAAGTAACACCCGAAGAGTAGTCATCTTCGGGGTGTGGGCAAACGTCTGGAAGAAGTCAACTCCCTCACGCTGACTGAAACCTCTAGCCACGCAGCGCGCCTTGAAGACAGGCGAAGATCCAGGCGGCCGCTTCACCTTGAAGATCCACATGCCATCGACTATGTTCGCCCCAGGCGGGGGAACTGCGTCGACGTAAGTTGCTGTGGATCTCCAAGACGCCATCTCTGAGTCCATGGCTGCTATCCACTAAGAAGCCCACTGCCCTTACACTGCCTCACGGTACGTGCGAGGAGTTGGTATGTCAAGGGCGTCGGGTCTCCCTCAGGGGCTAACAACATGGCACAGAGATGGGGAGGAGCGGCTGCCAAGAACTCCAGCTCAAATTACCGTTCCTCTAGGACGTCACAGCCAAGGGCAGACTCACCCCCGGCGGACAGAGGACGGGCAGCCACCACACGGGTGGCGTAGTCAAGGCGGCGAGTGGCGGGAAAGTCAGAGACAGTGGCAGTAAGAGCCAAGACAGACGACGGAGAGGCAAGAGAATCCGTGACTAGAGAGGCGAGAACACGAGTGACAACAAGACGGGTGGCACGGTAGTAGTAAGTGATAGGGGTAGAGGTGGAGGCTGTAAGAGACGACTCGGGAGGTGACGGGAGGACAGACTGAGGAGGAGAACGACGAGGACTCGAACGAAGTAGGACAGTGCGGAGGTTGTCAAAAGGAGATGAGGGACGTGTACGAGCGGGACAACGAACTCTCCAGTCGTGCGGGACAACATGAGGAGACGACTGTGACAGAGGAGGAGAGAAAACAGGCGGAGACGAGTCCGGCGGGGGGAGGGAATGTAGGACCGTAAGCAGGAGGAGACAGTGAGCGCTCTGGAGGAAGGAAAGGAAGGCCAAGGGCCCGAAGGCCACTCACAAGTGAAGACAACTGCTGCAAGGGCGGCAGCTGCTGCAGCAGCTGCTTCTACTCCTGCTGCTGCTGCTCCTGCTACTGCAGCTCCTGCTGCTGCCGCTCCATCTCCAGCCTCTCCTGCTCAGACCGCTCCCGCTCCACGCGCTCCAGCTGACGAAGCCTCTGGAAACTCGTCAGGTAGCAATGGGGAGGCGGGGTAGGCGCCGCAGTAGCAGTGCCTCCAACTCCAACCTCCTCAGAACTAGAACCTCCAGCGCCAACACCCCCAGAACTAGTGCTCCCAGAACTAGCACCGCCAGTGCAAGCACCCTCAGCGCGAGCACCTCCAGAACTAGCACCTCTAGTACCAGTACCCCCAGCTCCAGCACCCTCAGAACTAGCACCTCCAGCGCCAACACCCTCAGCGCCAGAACCCATAGAAGTAGCACCTCCAGCGTCTGTACCCTCAGCTCCAGCACCCTAAAAAATGGCACCGCCAGTGCCCGTGCCCCCAACACCAACACCCCCAGAGTCGACTGCAACCTGTTGCGGTAGTGCCTAAGGGTGCCGCGGTGACTGTGAGGACGACTATGGGGAAGGAGACGGTACCTGACGTGCTACCGAGGGGAGAGGGGTAGCGTGCGACACACCAGACGGGGCAGGACTAGGGGGGGTTGGGTGTACCGGAGGAGCGGGAGCAGGAGGAGGAGAGGGGGAGAGGAAAATGGGGGGGGGGGGAACTGGGAGACCTCGATAGGGAGTACCGGGTGTAGTACGACACAGACTCGTCAAAGCGGACGCCACGAGAGTCAAAGAACCGGTGAAGGGGCGGGTGGTAAAAGGTGTAGTCAAAGGAGTCCACCAGGAAACCAAGGAAGACACAGGGAATGGCGCGAGCCGAGAACTTGTCCGCGGAGGTGTCGCGGACAAGCGCAAGGCAGCCCCAGACACGAAACTCCGACGCAACACCAGGGGACCCGGTCCAAAGACTGGTCGGTGAAGCCTCTGGCCGTGAGACACGGGGCCAGAGGTTCAGCTGGTGGGCAGCGTAGCGAACCGCGTAGGGCCACAGAAAATGGGGCGCACGGGCATGGATCATGGAGGTGCGGGCGATCTCCATGACCAAGCCTATGCGGCGCTCAGCAACTCCATTCTGCTGTGGGGACTCTGGAAGCGTCCAGGACTGGGTGATGCCCTGCTCGCTACAAAACCCGCGAAGAATGCCGGAGCGAAATTCACCTTTACGGTCAGAGTGAAGACAACTGACACGACGCCATGAGTGGTCTCAGTGGCCAGCAACCACAGAATGAGCGTAGAAGTCACCTCGGACTTCTTCGCCAGAGGGAACACGGTGGTGTAGCGGGAATAATCGCCAACGACCACCAGAAAGAAGCTCTCCATCTCGGGCCCAGGGCGAGGGGTGGGAGTCTCAAAGGGTGCGGTGGCCGGACGAAGGGAGAAGGAGTGAGGAGTGGGGGGCAGCCGACCCTCGACGCAAGGAGTGCACGACGGCTTAGGCGAAGGAGGGAGCGACGCAAAGACGCGCGAGAGTCTTGAGACAAGACGCTGGCTAGCCATGCTGCGGAGGTGTGGGAGGGAGGGGTGACCAAGACGGTGGTGTCACAGGACTGTCGGGTGGGTGAGTGACCGACAGGAGCATGATGCAGCGGGAACCTGACCAGACGCAGTAACGTAACCAGTCGCAGCTACCTGGGGGGACGCAGTGTGCAGAACGTAGAGATCGAAGTGGGGCTCCCTGGTGAAAGTGGCAAGAAGTGCCCCGGTGGAAGCGTCGGTACAGGTCGCAGTCCTCCCGTGCCCAAGAAAGGTGACTGTGATCCCTCGATCCTGAAGGTATCCAACACCCACCAGGTTCCGAGTGAATGAGGGGATGTGGTGGCATGTGAGGAGACCAGAGGGGACAACCGGGAACGGGAGGGTGGTAGAGCTGCGTGCAACTGCTGGTCCTGAAGTAGGATCATCCAGGGTAACCGGAACCGGAGCAAGAAGCGGTGTGAGAGTCGTGTGGTCATCGAAGAAGCACTGCGACGCGCCAGAGTCCAGCTGAAGGACAGCGACGCGTGAGCCGTAGGTGCACCTGGGCTGGTAGCTACACAAGCACCTAGTGCGGAAACACAAGCACCTAAACTAGAAAGACAAACATCTACACTAGCAACAGGTAAAGATCCTAAACTACGAACATGCGAGCAAACAGATCTAGCAGCACTATAGACAACATCGGCATACATTGCAGAATCAGATAGCAAAGCCTAAAAAAACGGTACTGCAGACATCTCAAACAACGCCAGGCCACGAGAACGAACAAGCGGGGCCCAGTTCGGAGAGGGGCCAAAGCCGTACGGAGCACGGAGATGGTCCGTGAGCTGCGCAAAGCACTGTCCCGGAGGGTGAAGACGACCACAGTGCTGACCCTGACGAGTGCCAGTCTGAACAACGTACTGGCAGGGAGGAGGGGTGACACCACGCGACGCCCAGCGGGGTGGGCCAACGCCACGACCGGCGCCCCTTGGTCCACCAGGTTCCCACTGCTGAGACTGGTGCTGCACCTGCCGCTGCACCTGCTGCTGCGAGTGTCCATGCTGCTACTGTTGTCGCTGCTGTAACTGCTGCTGGTGCTGTGCTGCGTACCAGTCAACTGGTCGAGTACCCCCACCCGCGGGGCCCGCAGGCCCAGTACTGCCTCCAGTGCCGCCTCCACCGCACGCACTAGTGCCGCCACCACTACCGACATCCCCTCCGCCACCACTGCCGCCGCCACCGCTCTCACCGCCGCCACTACCATTCCCCCCCTTCTTACCTCCCTTGCCTCAGGGTTGCCCACTAGAGACAGACACGGCTGCAGTCTCCTCAGAAGTACGAGACGCAGAAGAGGCTAGAGAAGCTGTGAAGGTGGGGAGCTGTGGGACAGTGCACCCGTGAAAGAGCCGAGGTACTATGGCGCCAGACGAGGCGGCTACAGAGCGGATGTTGCTCTCGATGTCCTTAAGGGCCTCCTCAAGGACATCGATA